GAGGCTCTCGACGTGCAGTACAGGGGGAAAATTAGGAGCGGCCGTGTCCAAGTAGGTCAAGGGGAGGGGGCTGCCTAGGCTGGCCCCTTAGCGGTGCGCCCGGCGTACGCTGCTGCTGCCAGGGGAGCTGCAGCGGGGCCCCCTCCTCTGCCAGCGGTGCTGCGGTGGGGGGCCTGGCCCCTCTTCCCGGTGGCCCCTGGCCTGGGCACCTCGGCGGGCAGTGGGCAGGGCAGGGCAGAGAAGGCTTCTGACGCTGTGGAAATGAGTTTCCCTGGCGAGTCTGGTTCGTTGTATTCTTTGTCAGGGCTGTTTGGCTCTTACGCTGTGTGCCTGAAATCACAGGGTCCGACAAATTGACCATGTCCTTATAGTTTAGACCAAAGTTCTTGGGGCAGGGGAATAGCATATGACGGTGATTGAGAATGAATGGAGGATATTTCATACTCAGGTTTGTTCTCTTCTGATGAATAAGCTTTTGGCCAGGAGGCCTGTCTCTTCCAAGAGGTTTTTGACTTGGGCTGGAGATTTTGATGCTTGGCAGCCTTGAAATGAGACACTTGACATTTTTTCCCTTGTTGCAAACACACACTTTTACGTGCAGTTTTCAGAGTGACTCTAGAAATTTTAAGGGCCAAATTAAATATAAGATGAGAACTGACAAAACAGCTTGGCTTATTCTACTGAAAAGTTTTTGTGTTGTCTTTTTTTTTTTTTTCAAAAAATATTCTTTATTATAAAAAATTGAAAATTCTCTTTTCAATATTCTGACCTTTAAACTCCCTTGGAAAGGCATAATTATTCCAAGTTTTCTAAGCTCTGTGTATTGGCATTGCTCTACTGTAATTTCTGAATTGAACTCAAATGTTAGATGACACAATTTTTGCCTAAATCCATAGGTGATGCTAGAACTAAAACTGTTACTCTCTCACTTGCTGTCTAAACTGTGATCTTGCTCCTGAATCAGAATTGTTCATCTGTTGACACACTTCTCTTGTTTTAACTGTTATTTTGCCCAGGCGACGTTAAATGCAATTAAATGTGCATATAAGGAGACTTGTGATCTTAGACCTCAACAAGAACATAACTTTATAGTACCATTTCACAGGAATCATAATACTATAAACCCCCTGAGAAATTGAAAGCTCTGTTAACCTGCAACTTTTGGGTTTTGTTAATATCTGAGTGTTTTTAACAAGGCACATAACATGCTTGCATTTGAATTACTCTAATGTTTGAGTTACAGTGGAAAGTTAGTTGAAATATTTCTGAGCCTGAAAATGCTGTTGAAGATTAAAACGTGGTTTTGTGAGCACGTGGGAATTGGCAGGGGAAAGGAAGGCTGTATTTTGTAGGCTTACCATGTGAACCTTATCTGGATGAGTACTGAGGGATTCTGCCACGTAAGCACCAAAAATATTCTTTTAATAGTAGGTTGGCAGGATGTCTTGATTGCCTCTCCAGTTTATACTGTCAGGAGACAGACTGCCAGCATTAAAAGAGACTGCAAAAGCAGACAGAGAGTTCAGCCCAACTCTTCAGGAACCAGATTTAAATATCAAGCTTATGTTAAACAATGTCCCAAAATGCATTTTGTTGTCCTGGAAGATGTCTGTGGCTTCTCAGTAAGCATCCTGGTTTTGGCTGCGAGAGAGTTAATTTTCTTCCTAGTAGCTGGCACAGAGCTGTGTTTTGGATCGAGTGTGAGAATAACGTCGATAACACACTGATATTTCAGTCGTTGCTAAGTAATGTTCTACCAAGTCAAGGACTTTTCAGCTTCTCACGCCCTGTCAGCGAGAAGACTGGGGGGGCACAGGAGGTTGGGAGGGGACACAGCCAGGACAGCTGACCAAAGAGATATTCCATACCGTGGGATGTCATGCCCAGTTACAAACTGGGGGAAAGCTGGCTGGGGGCTGCTGCTCAGGGACGGGCTGGGCATTGGCTGGCAGGTGGTGAGCAATTGTGTTGTGCATCACTTGTTTCGTGTACTCTAATCCTTTCATTACCATCATTATTATTTTCTTCCGTTTCTGTCTTATTAAACTGTCTTTACTTCAAGCCACAAGTTTTACTTTTTTTCCGATTCTCTCCCCCATCCCACCGGGGTGCGTAGCTGCCGGCTGGGGTTGAACATGACGGTAAGGCACGGGGCTGAGAGCACAGTACTGCGTGTGGCACCGCCGTACAGGTTTGTTCTGCGGCACGTGCAGGTGGCCCTTGGGTGTTCCCTCCAGGTGGGGCATTTGGGTGGTGCATAGAGTGCTTTGCATAGATATATTTCCAGCCACTGTGTGTATGTGTGTTACAGTAAGGCTGTAGCCTCTTTTGTTGTGCTTTTGGTTGACTGACCTTGTAAAATGCATCCTGTGCTGCTTTTGTTTTTCTGTCTGGTGAAGACAGGGACAAATCATCAGGATGCCAGCGTTGCCTCTGGATGAACTCCAGCTGACAGAAAGGGATCCGAGGACAGGGAAGCTGAGAACTCTACCAGCACTGGTGAGCTGTGTTTTTCCTGAAAGCCAAACAACCTCTAATAAATAATTGTCTTATGTTGAGGCCTGGGCAAACTACCCCTTGGTCCAGGATATGAGGAAGTTTGGGGCGTGCCTGTTAAATTTTCGTTGTGTTTTAGTGCATTCAGGTAGTTGAGATCTCATTTACCCACCATCAGGAAAAAAAAAAACAACAAAAGAACCCCCAACTTAGTGTGTTTAACATCTGTCGTGACCTGTGTTCTCCCAGAACTCTCGTTCTTTCGAGGAACAGCCCAATTAGCATGTAACCCTTGCTGCGATAGCGGGAAAGCTTTGGGAGCATTCGCAAGCTCTGCGAGAAGTTCAGCTCCGCGCTATAGCACTGGGCAAAGTCCATCCCCTTACTGCATCCCATGCCCTCCCGCCCTGTGGCTTCGGCTTGATGAAATCAGAAAATTCAGTTCACAGTAACCCTTTTCTCCCAGAAATAAGAAGGGATGGAGAGAGCCTTCGGGGCGTGTTGCAGAAGCGGGACTTGCCGTTAGCGCTGCGTGCCCGTGAGGAGGTTTACCCTGGGCGTACGTGTGGGCTGAGGCAGCACTCAAAGCTGCTGCTCGCCCCTCAGCGTGGTTCTCATTCTGGGGTGGGGAGTACTGGGGCAAAGCCGGTTGAGTAACCCTTGGGAAGGGTAGTGGAAAGTTTCTTCTGTGTCCTTGGTGGTCTTGTTGGTTTGACTTCGTGGAATGTTGTGCAAGAACCAGTTCAGGGGAAAAAGAGAGAGTGCAGGCCACGTTTCAAAGGCACGACATCAAGTTGTTGCTGTTTGTTTTGAAGGTGTGGGAGGATTGCTTTGCCAGGCTTTTGGTTAATAGAGTGTAAAGAGCAACATCCACCAAATTATGAAGGTCTGGAGATGTTGCTGATAAATAAGGACAGAAACACACTCGCCTACTGCCTTGAAAGACTAGAAAATGGGAAGTTACCAGGGAACTAAGTGTCGAATGGTATTAATGTGTGATTTTGTGTTCGTTTCCTAAAACTCGATGAGCAGTGCAAATGGGAACTGGGCATTCTTGTCGCTTGGTCTGTAGTTTTAATACAGTGTTTTGGCTTTCTACAGCACCCAGAAATAAAAGCAGATCGGTCTTTTGTGCTATACAGACCACCGCCTGTTGTCAGAGACTCTGCTTTAGTGGAAGAGTTCTTGGAGCGAGCAAAATTCATTGCAGATGACCTGAACTGGCTTCTGGCTTTGCCTCATGAGAAATTTTGGTGCCAGGTAATAATTGTTTTGTGGATGCTGAAGAAAAAGCATGAACAATCTAGGTGCTTGTAAAAGCCATGAACTTTAAATCACTTTCATAAGGACTTGTATGTGCTCAGTATGTCATTTGTCAAGCATTTTCATTTCAATTACAGCACCTTAGAGTGCAAAGAAAGAAGTATTTCCCTATAAATTTTGCAGTGTGGATATGAGTTTGCTTGTATTTGATGCATACGTGAATCCTTTTGGCACTCTCGAGTGTTTTGGATTGCTTTGAAATTTACCTGGGCTGCCCATGAGTGCAACCTATGAATGTGTGACATTCCAGTCTTGCCGTTTTCTTGTCTTCTGTTGTGCAAGGTGATATTTGACGAGACACTTCAGAAATGTCTGGATTCCTACCTGTGCTATGCCCCTCGCAAGTTTGACGTGTTGTCCGATTGCCATCCAGAGGTGAATGACATGCAGAAACGTCTTCATCGGAGTGTCTTCCTGACGTTCCTCAGAATGTCCACTCACAAGGAGTCCAAGGTAAATATTTCTTTGCCTTGCAGGTGCTCCGGGCCGCATAGCTTAGGAAAAAAGACAATTAGAGAAATGAGGCATGTTTCTTGCTTGCGTGTCCGCCTGCCTTCCTCTCCCTGGCTGTTTATCAGTCTGTGTCTCCGCGTGGACATGGTAACTGCTGGGAGCTGAAGGGTCTGACCTATGCAACGATTTCCTAGGAAGGGGATCCAGGCAGTCAGCTGAGCGATGGCAGGTTGGCCCTGTGTGGCGGCGTGAGACATCGCTGCAAGAGAAGAATCGGCAAGTTGGCCTTTGTGCGGCCGCGTGGAGCAGAGGCTCTTCAGGCCACCAGCAGCTGAGCGTTCGCTCC